TCGATTGGCCACATCTCCACAATCTCCCCGTCCTCGTCCACCCATCAGCCCCCGCCAAGGACTTCGAGCACAAACAGCCGCGGTCGCCTCATCAAGCAACAGCAACAACAGCAGCAGCAACAGCAGCAGCAGACGCAGCCACGCTCCCAATCCCCTGTCATTTCTCCGACTACCGTTCCCCCAGAGTCGTGGCTGTCGCCCGTGCCTGCCTCGGATGCCAGGAAACTCAAGGCCCTCATGCGCTCTACATGCGGCAAGATGCAGGGTCTTCTCGCCTTCCGCAGGGGCGAACAGAATCCCTGGGCCCTTTCCTACTGCTACATCAATGACGAGGCCGGCAGCCTGGTCTACGAGCCCAAGAATGATGTCTCGTACACCCGCACCCTGATTCCAGACTTGCGCGGCTGCCACGTGAAGAGCGCATACGATGGTGAGGCATACACGGCCTACATCCATGTCGTCGTCCACAATTCCAAACTCGAGGTTCATTTGCGCCCGCCAACACAGGAAGAGTTTGACTCGTGGTTTGCCGCCCTGCTGTGCTGGTCGCCCATGCGGCCAAAGGGCATCCAGAATCGCATGGCAAAGCCACAGACTCCAGTCATGATGGAACGCCGTCTAACCGACAGCAGACGCCACTCCGAGGTGTCTCTGCTCAAGGATTCGCCCAAGAAGGAAGCCCCCATTATCAAGGTTGGTAAGATGATTTACTGGGACACGAGCGTAACATACAGTAATACAGGCACCCCCAAGAGTGCTGGCCCCAACGGACGTCCACAGGCATACAGATTGCAGAGCCACGGATCCCGCAGATGGAGAAGAGTATCCTGCACTCTTCGTGAAAATGGTGAGCTCAAACTCTATTCGGACACCGACGTCACCCTTGTATCCACCATTCAGCTCTCGCAACTTTCGCGTTGTGCCGTTCAGCGCCTGGATCCGTCTGTTTTGGATCATGAGTTTTGCATTGCCATATATCCCCAGTACACTGCTGCGTCTTCCTCTTCATTATCAATTGTACGGCCGATATTTTTATCCCTAGATTCACGCGTCTTGTATGAGGTTTGGATAGTCCTTTTACGCGCTTTTACCGTCCCACAGCTGTACGGCCCAAAGTCGGATGCCATAACCGAGGACGGAACCCTTTCGCCCACGTTTGGCACCCAGGACATGTTCCGCATGGAAAAGTCATTGTTTGTACGAGTCATTGAAGCAAAGTTGATACCGCCTGTTAGTCCAAAGGTTACCGACAGCAATGGAACCACACCAATAAGGCCATCTTCATCAGCCACAGCGAACCCAGGAGGATACCTTGTGGAACTACTGCTAGACGGCGAAACGCGCGCACGAACAATGGTCAAGAATGAAGGCAACAATCCTTTCTGGAGGGAAGAGTTTGAGTTCTTGGATCTACCTGCACTCCACACGGCTTCGCTGCTGTTGAAGAAGCGACCACCAAGCTACAACACCCGTAACGACAAGAACGTTTTCGAAGCTCCCCTCGGCAACGATTCCTGGGTCACTGAAGGTGGTTATGCTGGTATATCCTTTGACCAAACATTAGGCAAAACAGACATCTACCTTGATGATCTTGGTCCAAACCAAGAAATGGAGAAATGGTGGCCCCTTGTAAACATGCATGGCAACACCATTGGCGAGGTCCTTGTCAAGGTCAGCAGTGAGGAATGTGCGATTCTCATGGCCCGTGACTACTATCCTCTGTCTGAGCTTCTCCACCGGTTCTCCAACGGAATAACCCTACAGGTCGCCCAAATGATTCCCAACGAGCTCAGGAGACTTTCCGAGTATCTGTTGAACATTTTCCAGGTTTCTGGGGCAGCAGTGGAATGGATATGTGCGCTTGTCGAAGAAGAGATTGATGGTACTTTGAAGGAATCTCCAGCTAGTCGCTTACGGTTCAGCAAGAGGTTAGGCTCGAGCGAGTCGAACGAGTCACCATCAAACACGTTTGGGTCCACAAGCGATCGAGAGCTCTTTGTACGAGACATGGGCAACAATGCCAAACTCGAGGCCAATCTACTTTTCCGTGGCAACACCCTCTTGACAAAGTCCTTGGATCTGCACATGAAGCGCCTCGGCAAAGAATACTTGGAGGAGACACTGAGCGAGAAATTGAGGGAAATCAACGACAAAGACCCCGAATGCGAAGTTGATCCGAACAAGGTCTCATCGCAGCACGAGCTAGATCGAAACTGGCGGAGGCTGATCAACTGCACGGAAGAAGTTTGGCGGTCCATCTACAATTCGGTTCAACGGTGTCCGCAGGAATTGAGGTTGATCTTCAGACATATCCGAGCTTGTGCGGACGACCGTTACGGAGACTACCTGCGGACCGTACAGTACAGTAGTGTGTCTGGTTTCCTGTTCCTGCGCTTCTTCGTTCCAGCTGTACTTAACCCGAAGCTCTTTGGTTTACTCAAAGGTATGCAAGTTATAAAATGCATGACGCGCCCTGCCAGTCGCTAACAGGAATATCTAGATCATCCCAAGGTAAAAGCACGGAGGACATTCACCCTCATTGCAAAGTCTTTACAAGGCCTAGCAAACATGTCTTCATTTGGAACCAAAGAGGCATGGATGGAGCCCATGAATGCGTTCCTTACTTCACATCGACAGGAGTTCAAAAAGTACCTTGATGACATTTGCTCGATATCCACCACGTCACAGCCTGCACAGCCGATCCCACCATCTTACAGCACTCCGATTGCCATCCTCCATCGACTGCCACCCACTTTCAAGGAAGGATTTCCGTCGTTGCCGTATCTCATTGATCACTCGCGCAACTTTGCAATGCTGGTCAACCTTTGGCTGGAACACACCCAAAAGAGCGCGCACGACATTCAATCAACTGACGGCGATCTCCTCCGTTTCCACAACATTTGTTTATCCCTCAGCGAGCGTACCAAGGATTGCCTGAACCGCGCCGAGCCGGCTGAACGGCCATCGTCGTCGTTGAGTGTCAAATGGGAAGAGTTGGTCGAGCAGTTGCAGGGTGTTCAAATTGATACCACACGAGGCGCAGCGACAAGAAACCGGGGCCCAATTCAGGAAGAGGAATACGAAGATTCATCTTTATACCCAAGCAACGGTGACGAATACCAATCTTCGTCAACAAGCACGCCGATCACAATGCAGCCGCCACCACGGACACGGCACCAGCAAAACACGAGTATTTCCGCATCACAAAGTTCATTGAAAAGCAATAGTTCAACGACAATCTCCTACACGAATCCCTTTTCCAAGAAGCAATGGTCAGGTCAGTATGTGGCAGGTTCACACGACTCTGTAGGCGCCTCACCGTCCGCGTCGGCGAGCGCGTCAGCTTCTGCAGCCGAGGATACACCCCCGGGTTCTAGTGACGGCCTACACATGGCTCCTGCGCCCTCGTATCCTCAAGCTCTCACGACTACGACAACGACTACCATTTCGACATCTACCTCGACACAGTCTTTCAACTACAGTAATCCAAACTCTCACATCAACGCCAACTCTCTCATCAGCTCCAACATGCACATGAACACGGTTTCGACAAACTCGCTTGCGGGTCGGCCACCTCGTTCTGCTGGAGGGCAAAGCGTTGAAGGTAGCGACAGCGGCAGCATTGCAGAAGAAGAATACACGACTGCCCTGCCAGTGTTCTCTGAAAAGTCCACCAAGGAAAAGAAGGAGCGCGGTTTCCGCGGCGTCCTCCCCTTCCAACGCAAAAGCAAACGCAAAGACAAGGACAAAGACAAAGACAAGGAAAAGGACAAGGAAAACCGCAAGGACAAGGGCAAAGACAAGGACCGCGACCGTGACCGCGACAAGGATCGCAGCCAGGACCGCAGCCCCGAACGCGGCGGTGGAGGAGGAGGAGGAGGAGGAGGAGGAGGAGGCGGCAGCGACATGGGCATTCTACGAGGCAAAAATAGCAACATGCGGGGCGACGAACGAGACCGCGACGAAGAATTCTGACTGCATGGCTGGTTCAATGGCGAGAGCCCCAAGATGCTGGCCAAGAGGGAAATCAAGCGGCGCAAGAGTGCGGGTGAATTGTTGGATAAGGGGAGTTATCCTTGATATATTCCCTATATTCCCCAGTTGTGTCGACTTCATCGTTTGCTATATCTCTTTCGAAGCAAAGATTTATGTTGTACCTACCTACCTTTTCTCCATCAATGTCCCTTGTCCCCCCTTCCTCTTACTACCTTTTTTCTCTCTCTTTCTTCTTCGATATCTCGCTTTTTGTCGATGAATTAGAGGTCTCCTCTTCCTTCCTCGCTTTTCCCTTTGAACATTTTCGGCAATTACACGTGGGGGGTTTTTTCTTCTCTATTCAATTTTGGCTTTGCTTTTTTTCTGCTAGCGGGAGGCGCTGTGCGTTCTTTTTCTTCTTCTTCTTCTTCTTCTTCTTCTTCTTCTTCTTCTTCCTCTTCTTCATCACAAACCTCTTTTTCTGTTGGACTTTTTTTTAGCAGCAGCGCGGGCGGGTGGAACTCTTTTTGTTTTAGCGGGGGTTGGATCTTTTCTACCTCTTCTTCTTTCTGGATTTTTTAAAACATGCGGTACGCTTGTGAAATGAGGGTCTCTTTGTTGCACACACACACATACACACACACACACACACACACACACATATGGCGTGACACACATATACACACAAGGTGGGGATGTTGGAAATGGTCGGATTGGAAGGCAAAGGAGGTTGGGGGAAGGGGGGCAATTATGGATGGTGAAATGTACGAGAGACACAGAGACAAAGATGGGGACCAAGGTTTTTTTTTACTTTAGATTTTTCTTTTTTATCATCATCACTATATTCCCGGGGAACAGAACACACACACACACACACACGCAAAAAACAAGAAGATTCTACATGTTCATTGTTGTGTACCTTTCCAACATTTCCTTGGCCTGTCGTTTGTCTGTTACCCGACTCTCTGGTCGTCATCATCATTCGTATCCGGCTCTCTCTCTCTCGCTCTCTCTCTGACCATCGCCTATCGTATTCGGTACATATATCGACCCGGAACCCGAGTTAAGCTACTGGTATTGTGGGGAAGGGAGGTCCCAAGTCCAGGTTCCAAGTGGTAAAAAAAAGTGGGGATAACAACAGCAACGACAACAAAAAAAAACGTCTTGTGGGGAAAGTTTTTTTCGGGGTCGCCGTCTTTCCCCTCCGCCCCCAATTTCAAGATACGAGATACGAGAATCCTCCTCTGCCCCCCTACCCCCTTCTCCCCCCCTTACCGTATCTTTTCCTTTCCCTTCAAAGAAAGAAACCAAAGAAAAACGAAGATAAGCTGGAAAAGAGGATTTTGGTCACGCCATTGTTATCGTGAACCTCCCTGTGATTCTCGGAAAGAGGGGGGTGGGGGAAGTTACGAGGGATATGACTCTAGATTTTTGGGTTAATGGGTGGAGAGGCTGGGGCTGAGGATTGGGGGGGGGGGAGGTCTGAGCGCCATGTACTTTACTGCGTAGGAGAGAGAGAGAGGTTTAGGGTATTACCCTTGTTACATAGCAAATCTATAGTATGCGGGTTTATTACACTGAGTCGTCTTACCGATTATTCTGGTGCTAAGAGTTTCGCCTAGTCAAGAGGGCTTACAGAGGGCTTGCGTCCATAAGGGTCTTGCTTGTTTTTGTTGGGGTTAGGCGGTGTGCTGGAGTACCACAGTGTTAGTTTGCTGGCCTCGTAACGCACGGTGCTCGGGGTAATGTAAGATGGATGGATTGGTGATAAGCGGAGTGCGTAGGGATGAGGGAGTAGGGAGGTGGGGAAGCCTAATTTGTTCGATGCATACACGTAGCTATTGGAAAGCCGGTGTGTAGAGACGTGTATCAAGTTATTACTGATAAACGACCTTCTACCTCCTCAACTATCTTTCTATACCGCCCGCATCGTATACGGAATGACCTATCGTCATCGCCTCTATCTTTCCCTGTCTACTTCTTTCTTCTATCTAATCGCTCTATAGCGTTGCGTAAAGAGTGAGGTGAAGTACTACTCTTCTCCCTATTCTCAAATACTACTCAAGTCCCTCTTTGTAAGCGCAGACCTCTTCACGTACTCACTATCAATAACATTTACACCGGCTCTACGGGCAAATGCACTTCCGTACGCCCCACTCCTGAAACAGTAGTATAGTCGATATATGCTTGTGTGTCTCAAGTAGTACTAGAAACCAGCTCGACCTTGCTAATTATCGTATAATTATTTAGCTTAGCGCTTACGAGAGACGGGGCAAGGTCCATGATCTACACTAGTTACTCGGGAGGTACTCGGGAGGTACTCGGCGGCGGAATTGCTAACTAATTAAAGATCTCGGATGACATCCAAAGGCGGAGTTTTGGCGAAGTTTAATGCTACTTTGGGATTCTTAGGTGTTTGATCCTTGAGTATGATCTTATTCATTTAAGTAAAAGTAGTTCTTGGCATACTTTGAAAAATGGTTAAACTGATGCGCCGTTTTACGGAGTTTCTTCTTCTACTAGTGTGTAGGCACTGGCGGCTACTTTAATATATCACACGAATCAATGCTTGGGAATTTATACCAAGGCCAGTGCGAAGGAGATGGCTGTTGAACTATCAGCAGGAAATCCTATATCTAAGCACGGGTCGGTGAAATAAGCCTCTGTGTTCTGCATACTAGTTATGCAGTATTATTCTCAATCTATCCCCTCATCCCTACCTCTGTCATTCTACAATTAGAAGACAGGAGAACGGGATACGAGTCATGATTATCTTGTTTCTCGTGTGGTTGATTACAACCACCACAGAATGATGATTCATCTAAACTTGCTCATGATACTCCCCCAGTCGGTCCTTCTGCACCAGTTCTGGTAACCCTAAAGACTATTACCATCGCCTTCAACCTTTTAGTTCAAGTACTTAGTCAAAGTTGAAAGCGTTCTTGTACACCTTCTTCTCCTTCTCCTTCCTCGCCTGAACCTTCTTCTTGATCAGATCTTGCTCCTTCACAATCGCCGCATCACCTGGCGCATACTTTGCCGCTTCCTTCAGGTCAGCCAGCGCCTCCTCCTCGTTCTTCCTAGCAACCTTTGCTTGGGCACGCCTGAAGTAGGCCTTAGCCTTGTCCTTGTCGGTGATTCCCTCAATATCCAGCGCCTTTGTCGCACTCTCTATCGCCTCGCCGTACTGATGTGTCTTGTTCTGAAGTAGAGCACTATTGGAATAGAGCGAGATCTTTAGGGCGCAGAGCTGAGGCCAGAGATCCTTGGGATCATCATCTAGTGGTGCAGGGTATTCGTGTAGGTAGCGGATGCCTTTTTGGTACTTCTTGATACCAAGCTCGAGATCGCCTTTCTTGAAGGCATCGTTGCCCATGTCCTTCAGCTTTGTTGCAATCTCAAGAATCTCGGTGCCTTTCCACTCCTCATCAGCAGACTTTTGGTCCTCTGGGAAGTCCTCGTATGGGTCACCAGTTGCGTCGGAGACCTTCTCGGTTGCCTTGTCGTAATCCTCGCCCGTGAGCTCGCCGCAATCAATGATGGTGGCATCGTGTACCGGCTTGTCGCCACTCTCTGTTTGAAGGTTCTCGATTTGGCGCACGATGCTCTTGCCGTTGATGACTTCACCGAATACGACGTGCTTCTTGTCGAGATGCGGCGTAGGGACTGTGGTGACGAAGAATTGCGAACCGTTTGTTCCTGGCAATTCGTTAGCCGACTATGTCGCAGGACCTGCTGTGAGATTTGCATCCAACTTACCCGGGCCAGCATTCGCCATGCTAAGAAGGAACGGCCTGTCGTGAATCTTCTCAAAGTTCTCGTCCTCGAACTTCTCGCCATAGATGCTCTCACCCCCAGTACCATTGCCCTGAGTGAAGTCACCACCCTGGATCATGAAACCCTTGATAACCCGGTGGAAGCTTGAGTTCTTGTAGTGTAGGGGTTTGCCGGATGCGCCTTGGCCCTTCTCGCCGGTACATAGCGCGCGGAAGTTTTCGGCTGTCTTGGGAACAATATCGCTGTACTAATTGATGTGTTAGTCCATATGTACGCATATCGTAGTGGAAGGATGTATTGGCACGTGAGGTGCCAATGCGAGGGCGGAACGTACAAGCTCAAAGGCAACACGACCGGCCTTTGTGCCGCCAATCGCGATATCGAAGAAAACGCGTGGGCGCTCTGGCCTCAGTCAGCATTTGTGCTTGATAGTTATTCATAGTTGAAGCTAGGTGCATCTTACTAGAGTCAGCCATTATTGCTCAGTCGCAGTTGTAGTATATTGAGATATGAGATGAAGATGTGCAATAAGTACAGAGTACGATTGGCCGAGTGGATTAAGAAAAGTGTATGGTATGTGGTTTGGCGTTGCGAAGCTGGGTAAAAGCATGCAGCCGGCCATCCAGAACTTTCCACGAAGCTACAGCCTACAGCCTCATGCCGCGCCAAGCCCGCTTTTCTGACATCGGTACGACACGAGGAAGGATCGATCGCATTGCTTTTCCGATTTCGTGAGGCTAGGTAGCGTCAGGCGGGATCGTGATAAGAGTGCGACCATGGTAACGTGCTTGTTTGGAAATCGCATGGGTCTTGTAAACATGGACTTGGTGCTCGTGAAGAGGGGCAATGCGGGGTAAACATCAACATCCGATCGCTCCCTGTCCGTCTGCACAGCCGTTGCAACAGTCTATTTTTCATTCTTGCCACGCAGTCTTTCCCCACAAGTTCATGCAATATCATTGGACAATAACGGATGCCCGACTGAACGACTGCTGAATATCGGACGAGCCAAGCAGTCGCTCCTCTCGTGCTCACGACCCTCACGCCAGGCAGGATGGAACCATGGTGATAGAAATAGCCATTTTTTTCTTTCCCTAACATACTACTATCCAGTCTGCCATTACCTATTCATGGAGATTACCGCCTGGCAGACATTGAGAATGGAATGGTCGTTGAAACCAACTCATTCTGATCGTAGTGATACGTGAAGCCGCCCTGCAGCGTCCTTCTCAGTGCATTGAGTCTCTGCAACTTCCACCATTTATCAATCCTAACTTCAACATTCCTGTTGATCTTTACTTTCATCCTACCAGATCCATATGCTCTACCAGTTTCCTCGTGCAGCGCCATAGAGTACGCCGGGCCGCGACTGGGCTTCTCGACAGAGTTGCGAATGTCTGCAAACGAAGAGTGCAACGCTTTGCGATCCTTCTTGGATATGCGGCGAGTCGAGACGTTGGCAAGCTCATCGAGGGTATGTAGAAGCTGGTCTTGTCTTCGGTACACCGTGTAGCGCTTTACCAACTTTTGTCCATCCCGCACATACTCGGGATCGTCGCGGTCATCCTCTTCGACCTCTTCATCCTCCTCTTGTGGAGTAAGCGACTTTTCATACAAAAGCGCAATGTTTTCTCCAGCTGCAATTTGCACACCTGAGTCTGCGCTCTCGAGTTGCTCTACGAAAGCTTCCATGGCAGCCTCGGTCTCTTCTTCGAGGTCCTCGATCTCAGTCGCCAGCAGACCCCACTCCTCAAGTGCAGCAATCACAACCTCGCCTTCATCTTGCGCATCAATAGAAGCACCGTCCGACTCGACAATCTCAAGGAAAAGGTTCATAATGTCCAGAATCTCGTCGTCACCTGCGCCAGCGAAGAAGGCGGTAGTGCCTAGGGTATGAATGGCGTTGACCTTGACGGGGATTGAGGACGATGATTGGATAGATCGCTTGAGTTGGTCGGCGACATCATCGTAAATGGAGTCGGAATCGAGAGTAACAGCAGTGACTGCGAGCGCTAATAGTTGTGAGCAAGACGTCATTGTTTTCAGATGATATACACACCTTTCAAGGCCTTTACAGCCTCGTGTTCTGTGGTTTCTTGTCTGATGCTCCTAAGCATAGAAGAAACTAGCTCGTGGGTGCGGCCCTCGATCTCGTCTCTCGCATAACGGGCCATGAGTATGTGCGCATAGGCATTCAGGCTTTCGGTGCGCCCATCGGTGCTGCTGCGCTTTAGGTTGGTAATCTGTTCGATGCGCGTATGAAGCTCCGCCTTCCATGCATCTTCAGGAATGTTGACATCCTCGCCGTTGAGGATATCATCGATAGATGCGGTGCTGTTCAAACAATATGTCAGTACTTGTTGGTCGCCAATGTTTTGGGTGATGATGTCACCAGGCGCAATCTACAGTGTGGCGAGGCAAACCAAAAAAAAAGTTGTGTGCGGCGCTGGACACTCACCTCCATGCAGTTCCGTCACTCAACTCGTCTTCGTCGTCGGTATCGTGTCGGCTGCGACTGGCAGCACGCGACTGTGCTGGCGATGCGACTACCGAGTTTGATTTGGAGGCTGTAGTGGATGCGACGCGCGAGCGGGCCTTGCGCGAGACAGTCTTGTGGCTCTCGAGAGCCTGTTTGCGAAGGTCGCGCATTGTGAATTATGCCTCGTATTCTGAATGAAATTTTTGCGGTAAATCTCGTTACAACAACCTTTTCGAGTCTGTAGGGTTGAGGTTGAGGTTGGTGAGTAGTTGGTACCCAGCGGCGGATTGCGGGGAAGCCAGAGTAGGAAGGCAGTTATTCTAAGGGTAATGAGTCTCTAAATTCAGTCGTGGACATATATGAGTGAGGTTTGAAAGACATGAGTATGAGTCAGAGAAGACAGCGAGATAGCAAGTCAGAGGCAAATAGGAGAGAGGGAGATGTGGTTGTTCACAAGGCAGCCTGCTGGTGTCAGTCGTTCCTCCCAAACGACTTGTCCCGAGTGGACGGTGGCCAAACGGCGCTAACCGTCGCATACGTCATACCCATCCAGCGTTCCATTTGCAAACCTTCCACCACACGTTACCTGACCACATCGACACAGATGACCTTTGGAGAGAGGGATACGCTTGACACCTGCCGTCTCTTTTGAGTTTATCGTCCCTTCAAGTAGTCCCCGATCGCCGCAACGGTAAGACTAACCTGATATGTTGTACTTAGCGACAGCTTGGTGTCAGCCAAATGGTCTTGACACTGATTGGCCGCTTCTGCTCTATCTTTTGACCAAGAAGGCGGCCAGGAATAAAACCAGACTTCGAGAACAGCTGACATCAGTCTTCTTTACAATAAACGGGCTCACGTCATATTCTTATCTAGGGCCACGCGCCGCAGCCGCGCAGGCAGACGCTTTAGGTGGTTTCGGTCTACAGTACTGTCAGATGATCTACATTCTGGCACAATGTTTATATTCAGTTAATCAAGTCCGTACAGGCCACATCAACTCCTCGCCTGGTCAGCTGCAGAAGGCGTGGTCATGTTTACGCCAGCCACTTCCCGGCCAATCGGTCTGACATGTGTATCTCCGTTAAAGCCAACCTCAGCCTTGGGTCTAGACTTCATGTGGCAGACCATACGGTCGCGATCCTGTGCCAACGCAATGCGCGGTTATCGGTAAGCGCGCTGCGGGATATGGTGATATGGTCGGAGTCCCACGCAAGATGAGACTTTTTATCAACAAGGAATCCTCTCGTCGTACACTTGGACATGGATGCAGCAATCATATCATAGCCACACGCCACCTTTTTGTCATGGCCGCATTCTCAGATTTGTAATACTTAATTCTGGTGTTGGCACACGAATCAACAACCCTCGACCACATGCGACCACTCAAAAGCAACTTCCGCCTCCCGAGGCTGATGCGGCACAGTAGCGAGGCGCCATAAATATATCTCATTCGCTAAGGCACGACGAGATACTGGTTTGTCGCTTAACAAGGATATTGACGGCACGTGCAGGCCTTGCTCGCATTCAGCCTCACGACACATCACGGCTTGGGAGGATGAGGATAGGGATGAGGCCAAAAGTGAGACCAATATGACCCGGTACCAACTAACAATAAGCTACACATTCCAACGGGAATAAGCAACACTTCAAACTGAGAGGTTCCAGCGCTTTTCTTGGCGTAGGTACATAATATCTGACATGCAAGGCCCGCCATCTCAGGCGTCCCGTATGAGTAGCATGCGTGGAAGTGGAGCAGCCCTGGACAAATAGTCCTGAACTCGATTCCTTCGTAATTGGTCCGCTCGTACCATGAACACCGCGAGGATATCGTAAACCCTAGTTTTAACAAAAACTAACCAATGCATTGTTGGAAAAGCCATGTGCGCCTCCTTCCAAGCCATCAACACCCAGTTTCAGCTCAAATTCCGTGCCCAACCCCACAAAATGCTATGCGCATAGATGTAAAAAGAAAAGAAAACGAAGATCTAACCGAAGCTGACGGCGTAAGAGCAAGGGCGGCAAATCGAATGTACGGCAACGAAAAAAAGGTCGACCATCTCCTCCCAAGCGAACCAACAAAAGCAACCAAGCTCACCACCTATGCAGCCATGCATTCCAGAGGCGGCCTCGGGGCAAACAACTCTCCGGAAAAGCCCATCTGCTGAGCCGCAGCCGCCATCCTTCCACCCTGTCCTTCAAATCCTGTATGGTCCAGTAAAACGTCCCAATATGCATCATACTCGGTACCCTTTCTTTTCGCATGCCGCGGAATATGCCCTCCCTCGCTCTTTCCACCACAACCGATAACGCGGACCCCTGCACCTCTTCTTCCGTTCTCGCCACCCGAAAATAATCGCTCCAATACATAATAGGCAGCAATTACGATCGTGATGTTCGATGATGATTGTTCGATAATCAAGATATCCACATACACAACGCACATGCAACACATATGGGGCTCGTTTCTCTTTTAACTCTGTGCACCGCCGCCCACGCCCGCGCCCGCGCCCTCAGGCCACCCAAACGGAAACGCCGAGCGCTCTCCCGGCTTCCGTCTTGGGATATCAATGTGGTGGAAGTTGCGGAGGTGCTCGACTAGGTGGTCTCTGCGCGTGAAGCCTTTTTCGCCTACCCGGTTGCAGCGCGCGACGTGGCAAGGGTACTCGGGTGTGCCTACGCCGTGGACGGTGGACTGGTGGCGTTGTAGGTCGGCTAGGCGCGTGAAATGCGCTGAGGAGGTGCACGAGGGGATGTCGCAGGTCCATGTTCTGTTGGAAGAGAGGGTTAATGCTAGGAAAAGGGAAAGGGTTGGGAGGGAAAGAAAAAAGAAAGAATGAAAGAAGGAGTAACGTACTTTGAGCGTGTCGTACTGCTTTTGCTTCTGTTCGTAGTTGACACGTTAGACTCTTTTCCCTCTCTTATGCTTGATTGTATGTGATTCTCATTAATGGACATACCTTTTATGACTTTGGCCCGTCGGTAGATTCATGTCTGTACTTTGCATTTGCCATTCTGTGCTTTCATATCCTGTCACGGGTTCTTGGTATGGAGCGGGTGTCACACCCATTGGTTGCTCAACATAATAATCTTGAATCATCTGCCATGGCTGTGGTGGATAACATTGGTATTGCGCATAGTACGCATTGATCTGCTGCTGTGTGTACTGAGGTACTCCTGGTTGGTATGGTGGCTGTTGTTGATATGAGTAGCTACCTTGGTCCGAAGATGAGTACTGTACATTTTTGTCAGCAAGCGAAGCAAGAAAAACGTGGGGAACTTGTTAGGAAATTGATAATGTGGGGGGGGGAGCGACTTACACTGTATCCGGACATGGCGGGCGAAGGCGGTTGTTCCTGCTTTGGGCGCACTGACTCGGTCTTCTTGGGACGAGAGCTAGTATTAATAGAGACAGTTCCAAGGGCAGACGGGCGGTAGGCGGGTGCCGCGGGCGATGTGATAAGGCGCAGTTCGTGTGCTTGGTGCGTGTTCCTTATCGGGACTGGGTGCTTGCGAGGTACGAGGTATGGTTGTCCGGGAGAGCTATAATAGAAAAAAAAAGTTAGATGATTCAATAATGCTGTTGTTTCTGTTCCATGGCTGGCCGGGAGGCGAATTCTCGATAGTTTATATGGGGTAGCGCTAAAAGGATATCTTTTTTGACAGCTACCTAATCACTGCCACAATCGAGCTGACGTCCTGCGGCCGTAAAGTACGCATCCACTTACATACACTTCGGCGGAAACGGGCTCTCCAAAAGCCCGAAAGCATCGCCATGCGAACCGTGATGTGCCAACATCGTTGATGACGAGAATAAAAAGAAGGGGTCAGCGAGGTTCAGATCAAGATTTAGACCCAGATTCAGGATTCAGTTGGTATTGGCAGGGCTCGAGGCAGGCGATGTCGTCCCTTTAGTAAGATTGCCGCTGTGCTTGGACAAAGCTACGCCAAAACCAAGACTTTGAGTATAAAAGCCTGAAATTGCTGAGGTGGGACTTATGGGTTAGCGCGGGCGAGGTAGAGAACCCAAGCCTGCGGTAGCAACTACGTATCTTGGTATAGGGCTGACGATGTTTGATGTCTGTGCAAGAAAAGTGGTGAAACTCAAGGACGGAATGGTGGGTCGGTGCTATGGCAAATGTGAGTCAAGGAAGTCAATTTTGTTTTCTATGGTGGGAATGGGGAGGCGGTGAAATAGTTTGCTAAAAGGAGCGCAGCCAGTGTAGTTGGTGGAGAAAGAAAGCCGTTGACTAGATCTGCCGTTAACTCTTCTTCCCGCCGCATGCCCTGCAGGGCTTGATCTGACCTTGGCCTCATGGCATCTCACTTGCTTGTTAGTATAGCTCGGCTACAGCAAGAGCTAGACCAATCCAACGGATACTCCTCTTGTATTCTCGTACCTGTTTCCACTATGAGCAATAGGCCGGAGTCACCGACGGACAGGATGAGAGCAGGCCGACAGGCTCCCGTGTGACTTGGAGTGCATGCATACATGTTATTTGCCTATTCTGGCTCTGGGGTGTAAGGCCTTACCCTTGTTGAGCTGCAGGACCTGGTTTGCGGCCTGAAGATCGGCATCATGGCTGATGTGCACAAGTCAGTATTCTTGGACACAATTGCACAATCAAGGCAGATGCCAAAGTTGCGTCTCCACTATGACTAGTCTGTCAAAAATGTCGGTCGAAATGCTCATATCGTAACGAGGCCACCAACGCCATCCACATTTGGATACCTAACGCAATGTCAGAAGTATTTGTGTGGACCACCCGCTGTAGATGGTTTAGCCTCTATAAAACACTCAATTCACACCCGTTCCTCTCAGCCCGCACTGTTGTCTGCGTTTAGCAGCTCACAGCACTTCAACTCTGCGCTGGGACCGTAAAAAGGTGTATGTGAACGATCCATGCCTGTAACCGCTCGGCTGAGCGGTACGCACGAGCTAGTGCTGTCGGGCGTAATGGGGCCAAATCGAAGCTCGGAACGTTGCAGAAGGCTTCTTTCGCTAACACAGCCAGTGGAGATGGACCCAGCTATTGTCACAGCCCTGCAGCTCTCACGCGATTGGGGGCCGAAGTTCTTTGAAACCGCGGCCTTGGCTACATATGTAATGTCAGATTACGCCCGGCCCTAACACCGCTTCGCCCCTACACCACTCAATTCGAGCGGTGCA